CCTCGATTTCAAGCGATACGGTGGGATTAGTGACAGTGGACCGGAAAATCTAAATGAAGCGCCATTTTGGCGCTTTCGCAGGTGACAAAATCTCTGTTTCAACCAAAATTTTATAAATTATGATAATAAATATAATTCTTGTAAAACTCTTCATCTCTGTTGCTCCGCTAACGGATAATTGGTTAAAATTTATTTACTTTTGAACAGTTTCACAAATTTTTTTTTAAAAAAAAAGTTACTGTTACGATTACTTTTCGGTTTTTATTACCTTGTTTACTTAATGAACCCTTCTAATTCAAATATTTCATTCTCAGTCCTGTCTTTTAATTGTTAGCATTGTTATGCATTCGACTGCTGAATGTACTCAAAGACGCAGTGCTGGAAGCGTTCTCTGATTTTCATATTCTTGCGAAAGTGCCAAAATCACCAGTATTTCTTTTACTACCTCGGTCCCTATTTGTAAGGGTCATTTTGAGTTAGGATCTGGATTGAAAATGTCTCTTTCGTGCTGACCATCGCTGCTAGTTTTCTCATTATGCCTTTAAGTCTCATATTATCGCATGGTTGCGCAGGTAACAGCAGAACAATACTTGAAGTCAAAAAACAGTACTGGGTGTGAAATACTTAAAAAGAGTTCAATAAGCGAGTAAAGGGATACAAGCCGAAAAAGTAATCATAAGAGTAGTTTCTCCTAAAAGAAAACTGTAAAATTGTCTAAATTACGCATCACTGAAGTGAGAGTTATTTTTGTAAAAATCACATATATTGTTATAGTTAATAAAATTTTAGCTGAAGCAGCGATTCTGTCACTTGCGAAAACGCTTAAGTGCTACTTCAGTGAAGTTCTTCCAATCTACTCTCACCAGTCGCAAGTTAACTCTTGATACTGGAATGATGCCGTATTGCAACTTTTGTTTTGTGCAAAAATTGTCTTCAAAAAAACGTTTTGGAATTTCGTTTCTGATTTAATCTAGAAAAAAATTTAGTGATGCAAGGGTTTCAAAATTTTTCTGAGTCTGGAGGAGACAGCAAATGAAATAAAAATGAGGAAAATCCATTGCAAATGAGGAAAACTACAAGTTCTTGAAAAAGACCATGTCGAGGGTGAATGATGTTTTTTTTCTTTTTTTGCACATCGGGACGGTCTAACTTAGCCGCCAGCGCACTTTTTGAGGTGAAATTTTGTTATCAAGTGCTACTAATAGGCAAAAGGCGAAGAAAATCTGAGAGGTCGATTGCGCAACTCGGCATGGGACGGCCCATAAATACAGAACTTTGTGACTGCAGGATTTGCAGGGATTCACGTCTTCCTT